CATGTTCGATAGTTTAGAACCAATTAACCCCCTTCAGACTCATTCGACACATACAGACCACCGAAAAATTTCATATGGAATGTGACAAGTTTGTAAAATTAAAGTTCAAATGTTAAGACATGAAAATACAAAAGAGTTAAGTTACATTTACATAACTCAAATATTTTCAATCACATCAAAGAAGCACAGTTACATATACAAAAGTAAAATACACATTCACACACTAATATGGAGTACAATGATACCAAAAAAAAAATAACATGTTAAAATTACAAGGAAAAAAATAACAATATTGACTTTAAAATGTAAAATCATATCACGACGAATATTATCCGGTTTTGACACCTCATAACCCCGAGCAAACTTGTCGGACTTGAATATCGTAGAAACGGAAGCATTTACATACATACCAACCAATTCCTACGTATTATATTAACATATCGAACACAAATTTTACTTTTTACATTTATACCAAGCATTTCAGAGCAGCAAGCTTTGGAATAACATGGAAGGGAAACTCTGCCCTTCTCCCAGTACTGAAATTAAAAAGTGCCATGAGTATGTCTTCGCGAGAGCAGTCCAGAAAACCAAATTGACTTAAAATTTATAACCTTTGTCTTTTTTGTCTTTTATGTTCTATTTCCTTAAGCATGAATACTTATAGAAAACTCATTGATGTTCAAAATGAATGTTTAGAAACAATATACAAACTTCTGGTATACCTGTAAATAATAAAATATTATATTTCTTTTCATTAAAGATGGTGAGAGTTTCAAACAAAAAGATTTACAACAATTGTGCAGCACTACTTAAGTCCGGCCTAATTTTTCTGTGCGGACTCCTGACGTAGCTCTATGTGCAGCGGAGGTTATTCATGAGTTATTTTCAAGTTATTTCTAGGGTATTTTCAATAATCCCGAAATAACCCAGAAATAACCCGCGATCTTTATTTTGGGTTATTTTCACAAAATAACTCATAAATAACCTGAAAATAACTTAGAATAATCTCTGCCGCACGTAAAATTACGTCAGGGGTCTGGATAGAAAATGCGCTCAGCCGGACAGACAAGATGTAAATTATTAACACATGCTAATTTTTTGCTAATTTATCAAACTTCAGATCTTTGAATAATCATAATGGCTGTTCAACTGATATAGAGAATTCAAATCCTCCCCAAAGATGCGGGGTAGAAATAAATATAATCAAACCAAACAATTTCCTTACTTCGAATCCAGAATCAAATGTACACTTCTTCTCTTCCCATTCAATGTGAGACAATGGCATCCATGAACTGCAACTTCACCTCAATTCAAAAAATCATATTCTCAGAGCTCAATATTATTCCAAACTAATCTCCTTCCCAATTCATCAAAACCTCAACTTGAATCAAAATCTGCACCAACTCCTACTGCCATCCTCCACCATGCTCCGATCTGCTCCGAAACTTCTGCGTAGATCGATGCTCGCTCGCGCTCCCTGATGCAAAGTGTTTGATGCTCTGAAAAACATGCCTGCTTTTACCCATCCAAAGCGGACCCGAGCTCGAACGCATTCGATGCAGACCTGAACCATCCTCTAAAGAACCCGTAGATGTGTGTCTGCGTC